ATGGATCGCTTCATCAGCCAGTTGCTCTGCATTATTCGTGCCAGTTGAGCAGGCGGAAAGGTATCCTAGGAACGGCGAGTTCTCTTGCAGCCTCTGGTCTCGGAGATCTACTATAGTTAAAGGACTTTCCTGCCAGTCGCTAAGGAGCAAGCTGCTTTGCGAAGGCTCGACAGGGTCTGAGTATACGTGGCTAGCGAAATGGAAGATCTTCGACGTACGGAGGCATCTTATGATCTCCTTCCGGCTCTTCTGTAGTAGCTCAACTGGATTTAGCTGCATTGACGGGCAGAGCTCTTTTATCTTAGCCACTTCCTGTGCGGCGAAAGAAAGGCTCGAGTTGCCGGGCGTGTCTTGAATCGAGACTAAGAGGGCATTCTCTTTCCCTATATGCCTTACGTTTTTCTTACTGTGCTGGTTTCCATAAAGCGGTGCTTTGATTGAGGGACTGTATGATGACATGACCCTGTCAAGGACTGTTTCAGTAGACTTTTCCACATGACGACCTGCTACATGAAGCGGAAAGAGGCTTAGATGCCCCATAGGGATCCACCAGATACGGGGCCAATTATCGTCCTGGATAAAGCTCTGAAAGCCTAGTGCTTCGAGGATAGGAAGTGCAACAGCGTCCCAAAGCCACTCGAGTACTGACTCCATTTGGGTAGTTGACCTGGGTGAGCCTCGGTCTGGTCGCAATTCTTGCAGCTGCTCCTTAAGAACCCGCTGGCTAAGGTCAGGCAAAGGTAAAGCCCTAATTTGATCTGGCTCAACAAGGAATGCATCGCAACGATATGGGCTTACGTTTACGTAAGCGGTCGGCCCTTGATGCGCAGCGGCAGTTAACTCATCCGTAGTTGGCGGAAGAAGAAATCTTTCGAATCCAGGTTGGATGCGGACCTCTCCGATAAGCTTTTCAAATCTCTCGTTCGCTTGATGCCGTTGTGTCGCCCGTAACTCCCAAGATGTATTGCTTTTAGACTCCGAAAGAGACATTCATTCGGTAGGTGTATCTAGTTTGTCCCGGAGGGACTCAAATTCATCTGCTAAGGCAGGACGCCGTAGCTTTAGATTAGAGATGTCTGTGCGTAGCTCTAAAAGGAGACCGGCAATAACCCCACGACCGAGCTCGAGGAGTTCTAAGGCTTTGTATGAATCTTTCCCTGCCTCGAGGGTAATAGCGGCGGCTGTAGAAGTTAAACCAGCAAAACCTTTAAGCATGTGTTGCTTGTCAGTGTGCTGTAACAGCCGCGTGCTTACAGTAGGAAGCAGCACTACGACATCGTTGAGATAGTTATTAGAGGCTTCCCATTCCGATAGATCGGCCAAAATAGCGGCAGCGCGACGAGCCAGGATAATGCGAACTAATGGTGGAGCAGTGCGGCATTCCCATCCTTTCTTGAATAAATTAAGCGCTGAGTTACGGTCTTTTCTCACTTTTGTCCACTCAAACCGCGTTTCAAGCAAATTTCCAAGGTTATTTAGACAAACGGCTCGGTCTGGATGGTCGAGAGGGGTAGATTCGACAGCCTGGTCGGCAACCTCAACGGCCCGGTTAAGGTCAACTATCTCTCCAGTCTGCTCAAACCGCCTTCCAAATTGGCTTCCGAGGTTGTTTAGACGACTAGATCGATCTGGATGGTCGACTTTTATCGGGTGTAGTAGTATCCAGTCTACCTGCTCTCCAATAACTTGAATCAAGTCACTATAGCTATACTTTATTGTCCAAAGGATTGCTTTAAGTTGTTGGCAGTAGGGCCGCTGATCCTGTTCATCGCGCAAGACAATTGCCTCCATATTGCTGTTAACAAGAGCTAACCCAAGTTTGAATCGCAGGTTGTTTCGGAGCCTGCGAGCTGTTGCAGTTTCTGTGTCCGACGGCTTAGGGCCCTGGATCGTCGGCCTCAAAAGCTTTTGCAGCTGCCTAGCAAGCTTCACACTCTCAGCTGCAAAAAGCCCGATGGACTAGATGGCATATATCAGTAATGGTTGGTAATATACGTCAAGATTCGTGTTGGATAATATTGACAGTGTTCCGTAGAACCTCTTGTCTTGCGATTTCGGAGAGCAATCTTACCGAGACATAGTCAATGGAGGTGTTTAATTTGGGTTCTGGACCCCGCCACTTCTCGATGCTATTGCTGAAATCTTGGATCATCGGACTTAAGAGTCCAAGATCATTATACACATCCTGAGTTTTTTCCCCCATTGCCTTGATAGTCCTGTGGCAGATTTCTAGGAGAACGAAAGTGTTAGCAGCTAGCTCTAGAACGTCCCTAGGATCCATGCCGCTCCAAATGACATCATTTGCATTGCTTTTATCAAAAAATAATCGCTCTGACTCGTCGGAAGTCAGGCCGGGATCCGGCATTCTCTGGTAGGCCTCATCCCAATCCCACATATCGTCGAGCTTGTGGAGGTTATGTTTGAGCAGCTTCACTTCTTCTTGAGAAAGCGGACCTTCTAGGTGCAAAACTGGATGTTTTGGCGGATCCTCATCATGCTTGAAACATGAAAGAGATTCAGATATCGATTTCTGTTGGACTATCAGACCATGTTTCTTCATGCATGATTCTCTGTGTAACAACTAAATAATGAGGCTGAGAAACATGTGTTATCGGAGTGATTCTGGCCGACATAGATTTACTACAATTTAATTACAGGTCTTTAATGATTCTTTTGTACGAAAACTTAGGGTAGTTATTAACATAACGTACTATCTGGCGCTGAGTACGTATATTGAGGAGTAGCTTGCGGCCTGGCCTGGGGTCTGGATCAACTTGTTGCGTTATTGAGAACCGGTGCAGCGTGTCCAGTACGGTCGTCCTGGGAACGTGTGTGAGACGCGTAATTTCAGACTAGCTATAGCCCAGTCCGCCGGCGGTGATGATTGCGACGCGTTGATCATGAGAGAGATTGGTACCTGTAGGGGTCTGCCCACTGATTCGATCTGCGAAGAAGAACTCCATGGTGGTGGTACGGAGGTGAGAGAATAAGGGGGTGCGAGCGACCGAGGCGTTACGGGTGGACCCTGTCGGCAAGTTCTGACGCCGAATTGTAACACCAGGTGCGGGGTACATTATCTGACTGCCAGCTCACCTGCTATAATTAGGCCCTGGTTAATTTCACCACCCCCTATAATAGGCAACCGCTAGTACTTCTTTAGTTTAGCTTTGTATTTATATTTTCATTTGCTACTTTAATTACCTCGTGCTTTTCCCTTCTATGCTTTTTCCTTTCACGCTTTTCTCTTTTATGCCTTTATCTTTTATGCCTTCCTACTAATGATTCTACAGGCTATACGCGTCTATAGTAATTTAACTTATCTTTAGTCGCGCAGAGTAAGTAGATAAATGAGTGATGTAAGGGGGTAAGGTTGTTGCGTAATAATAAATGGTAAGGCTAAACTCGTGTATTATCGGAGGCAAGCTGCAATGCAACCAGCAACGTCAGTGGCTTAGGCACGCGGGTACTCAGTGTGACGCGCGTATGTAGGTGGTCAGCGGAGGCGCGCGGTAATTGAAGCCAGTGAAGGTAAACTGTAGACCCTGGAACGCCGCTGTGTGATGTATGAGTGTGGTAGACGGATGCGACCGGCAAGAGCTCCACCCTGACGCCCTGACGCTGGCTGACCTGTGCGTGCATGCGCCCCCGCTCTTTCCTACCGCAACGCCAATGCGCACACGTGCGTGCGATGCGGTGCAAGCGGTCTGCCCTATACACAATGAACCCCAAATCTCAAAATCTCCTTGGTTTCCTCCCACCATGCCAGCTACGCCAGCTCTAAGTCACAGCCCCTCCGCCCCCGCCCCCGCCGACGGTAGAGGCATTCTATATAAAGCCCGGACAGTGCACGCCGAGATAAGTCTCGTACCACGTGGTGCGAGTAAGGCTTTAGCAGACCAATTCCTTGTTGGTGCTTGGCTTAATTACCTTGTAGATCTTAGGTCACCGGATGGGCTACCTATGCTGCCTACGGCTTAGCTACCGTGCGCCTTTTTTTAATGCGGCTACATGCATAAGTCTTGCTGCCTAAGATACTGCAGCCTCGGGTGTGGCGTGCTGCTTTGTCTTAGCGCTATAGCGCTTTCCATGGTATTTCCATTTTACCCCCGCACATCTATTAGAGCTTGTCATCAGCGATAAAAACCTTCACTACGACCATCACACCCGCTCACGGCTTAGTAGGATCGAAAATGCAGGACTTACACGCTCAAAATAAAGAAGAGCTCAATTGGAGTAAGGAGAGAAGCCTTTTGAAGCACTACCTTTTAATATTGACATAGAGGTAGACGCTCAGGGCTTCGCTCCGAATAACAAAAAGCTCGAGGAGTATACTGAACCACCGCATTTAATGTAAGTAAATTACTCAACTATATAAGACAAAGCCTGATACCAAGCAGCTTTAGCAGTGCCGAAGAGCTGGTAGAACACGATCCTCGCCTAAGCGGATGTAATGTTGACCAGAACTTTTTCCGTCTTGCATGCCACCATGTAAGAAAAGACTCTAACGGTCTATTCGGCTGCCGCACGACTCTAGAAAACGGAAAAAAGGTTTTAAAGCATGGTACCCCTCACTACCCAAGATGATTTCTTGAACGGTTCTAACTAAATTATAGACTCGTGGTGTTGCTTCAAGATTAAACAGGTTCGAAAAAGTTACCACGTTGGACATTCGGCACGGGATATACTCTACGATTGGCAGCAGCCGAGCATCTACATTTCCTGGAATTCAAGGGATAAAATCACCTTAATTCTATGCATCGACACCCCAAACGAGCTGCGTGTAGCTATACAGGATACTTGGGATCAAAACCTTACCGAACGAAATGACCCTTACAAATGGTATTGTCTTATAATTGACAGCCTCACGGATCTATACGATACATCTGTGTGGAAGTTGAGAGACTTAGTCCGGGAGGATGTTGAAAAGGTATAACAAGTCGCTTTCTAAAACCAGCTAATAGCACTAACTTTGTAATTAAAGAGACGATCCCCAGAATCGATCGATTTCCAACGGATCCACGAGATTGCAAGGCACATTATTCATTCGAATGAAACCCTTGAAGTCGCCTTGGATACTCTTAACGGTATTCAGCAAGCATACGAGCTATTTAGCAAAGATTCTTCCAGCTCAACGGAACAAGAAATGGAATTTTCGTTCCGCTATACACAGCTGGAACTTTCACGGCTTCGAAGAACTATTAAAGCCAGCTTCCTGCGCTCCCGGTCATTAAGTGATCGTATCCACAATGAAATTAATCTCGTTAGTCCTAGAATAGCCGTCTACCTTTAATGTGGAATCTAATAAGAATCGGTAGGCATATAACCTCGTCAACCAGAGAGATAGCTTCTTGATGAAGACGATCGCTGTGATGACATTAATATACCTTCCTGGATCATATATTGCGGTGAGTGAGCGGGTCTTATTGGATAAACCTTTCTATAAGTTACTAAACAGGTCTGACAGTCTATCTTCGGCATGAACTTCTTCGATTTCTCGTCCTCGAGCGGGCTCATTCTTTCGGACAAGTTCTGGATTTACTGGGTGCTTACAGCAATTATGACCCTGCTCACCATTGGCATATGGATGCTGTGGCAAAGCCAACGTGAGCATACGCAAAAGGCTTCTACGCATGTAGGAATGCCAAACAGCCAACCATCCCTTGTCTCGAGAAGGTTTACGTGGATTGGTACAGAATGGCGCTCTGCGTTCAGAGTGAAAACAAAGAATATTGTGTAGTTGGGAAGAGGGTATTAAGGCGGAAGAGAAGTAATGTTCGGCAAGGTAGAGTACAAAGTAGTTTTTCGGAGAGGATACGGCGGCCAAGTAGCATGCGCGGTCGAGAAGCACGAACGGGTAGAAGCTGTGCAGTGACAGGAGCGAAAGGAGACTAAGATATTAGTAAAGGCTGAAAATGCAGAAGTAGAGGAACGGCGGAAGTCCAGGGACGATCTCGGGCTAACTGGCTCCGCAAAAAGACCTTCTAGGAGTGAGCGAACCAGCCTCCTTCGCGCGGAAACGACGCACTCGCCTCGCTTCAGGACAACTTGGGCGATGCGCCTTATTTCACGTCCGAATTGCCGACGCCCTCAGTCGCCTAGCCTAATAGTTGCCTTATCTATTCCGCCGTATACTTCGGCATCCACGCCCGCTTACCTCTTCGCGGGAAAAATTACGCCCAATATCTTGGGCTCGGTCTCCTTAGGCTGGCTCTCGTAGTGGAAGCGTCTGTCCGATGATGGAGCTTAATCGCTAACGCTTGCTGACAAGCGGTAAAGCCTTGTCGCCCCCGAATCCTCATTTCGCATCTTTGTGTCAGCCAGGATCACTCCGATAACTCTCGTTTATCAGCCTCATTATTTAGTTATTACACAACAGCCTTACCCCTGCACTACTCATTTACCACTACTAAAGAGAAAACGTGTTCTTTTAGATAGCAGCATATATACCTCCATAGGTAACAGTAATCTAGAAGGACAAGCGGC